CTCTGAAGGGACTTTAAGCTACTCCTACTCCCCGTGGAAACTGGAGTTGTTTCTGCTATCTGTAGGAGTTGGTTTCTCCCTCAGCTCTCCTTCTCTGGGAGCCTCAGTTCTCACAGGCTCCCATCAGACCCTTTGAAACAATTAGTATGTGAGCATATTCTCTCACTGATGCCATCAGGACATTAGAAGCTGATGAAGACCCTGCCAGAATCCTCATAGGAGCTGAACCCATGAGGGAACACAGGAGTTGAACCCATGAGGGAACACAAAGAGTATAAAGAAAATTCTAAAATTCTGGCTGGTGACAGTGAGGAGGTTCTCCATTTGTGCTTCAAAATCCCTTTCCCCTAGAAATAGCATTACACTGTAATAACATATGTAACTATGTAACTATTACATATTATATATGTAATAACTATGTAAAACTCGGTTCTCTGACACATTCACTTATCCAGACCACAGCCAGAAATAAGCAGTAAACAAGTGACTTCTAAGCCACCAGAGAATATGCATCTTACTTATTGCAAAAACCATTCAAAAACACACTGCTTGCCTCTTTACTCTGTTTGTACATGATTTTAATTAGTTTTAATGAGGTGACAAGCCTATAGAAGATTATAAGCAGCAAATTTGAAGAGATTGGAAAAGATGTTACAAGTAGGTGAAGTGAAATCTGTTACAGCAACTTAAGAGACCAAAAAAAAATGTTAAAAAGAAGTTAAGAATTCAAAACCCAACCACAATGAAAAATTCCTTTGCATCCACAAGCATGGCTACAATTAAAAATTGACTATATCAAGCATAGTGAAGATGCAGAACACTGGAACTCTCATACATTGCCAGTGGGAATATATTAATACAATGGTACAGTCACTGGAAAACAGTTTGATAGTTCCTTACAGTAAATACTTACCATATATCCCTAAGTTTCCACCCTTAGGTGTTGACCCAAGAAAGATGAAAATATATGTCCCTACAAAGACTCATATCAGCTTTATTCGTAATAGCCCCATACTGGAAATAACCAAATGTCCCTCAAAAGGCAGATGTGTTAAAAAACTATAGTATATCCATACAATTAAATACTACTCAGGAAGAAAAAGGAATGAACTGCCAATATTCAATAATGTGGATGAGTCTCACAGACATTGTGCTGAGGGAAAGAAGCAACACAAAATCATATAATCATGTTGTATGATTCCATTTATCTAAACTTCTAGAATGGGAAAAACTAAGGTATGGTGATAGAACAGTGGTTACTGGGTTTGGGGTAGCACTGAAGAATGATTGGAAGGGACACAAGGGGAAATTCTGGGGTGATGGAAATGTTCCATATCTTGATTTCAATGGTGGTTACAAATGTGTGTATTTTTCAGACTGTATGCTTAAAATATGTGCACTTTATTGTATGTTTGTGTGCTCAGTCACTGAGTCATGTCTGACTCTGAGGCCCCATGGACTGTAGCCCACCAGGCTCCTCTGTCCATGGAATTTTTCAGGCATGAATACTGGAGTGTGCTGTGATTTCCTTCTCTAGGGGGTATTCCCAACCCAGGGATTGAACCCATGTCTCTTGGTCTCCTGCATTGGCAGGCAGATTCTTTACCACTAGCCCCACCCAGGAAGCCCCTTAATTGATTATAAATTATAGCTAAAACTTCCATAAAAGTACAAAATTTGCAAAAGGAAAAATTCTTCCGAGGATCTCCCTGCTATAGGATAAAATTTTAATTCCTTAACATTATCTGGTCTTTGTTTAATATCGCTTGCCTCATTCCTTACCATTCCTTCCCACCTCCTACCACTTATATTAAGCTACCTTTATTTCCAGAAATAGCTTTTCTCTCTTTCCTCTGAAACTTGAAGCACAATGGTCCTTTTCTCCGGAATTCCTTTTCATTTTCCCATTCCTCACTAAATTCTCAATATCCTACAGGATTCATAGAAGTAGCACCTCCTGCAGGAAGCCTTGTGCACTCTCAGTCTGTATTATATACTTTTTCTCTTGCTCCCAGAGAACTTAATGCTTCCCTTTACTTAACAAAGCATGTATCATTCTGTAATGTAATTGTAACTTAAAAAAAAAAAAAACACTCAAAACCATAGTGTGCTGGTGCCATTTAATGTACAGGCAAATAGTTTTCTACATTTTCACTAAACACTGAGTTAAATCATATTGTAGCCTAATTTCTGGTCAAAATAGTTGGAGTTTCAGCGCTCAAAGTTATTAAGAACACTCTTCTATCTATAATTACTTGTTCTACACTAAAATAATTGAGATTTTAATGTAAATAACAGTTTGGGATTGTATCATTATTATTGTGATAAGTTATTTATGTTGGCATCACCGCTCAATGGACATGAGTTCGAGTAAACTCCGGGGAGTTGGTGATGGACAAGGAAGCATGGTGTGTTGCAGTCCATGGGGTCGCAAAGAGTCGGACACAGCTGAGCTACTGAACTGAACTGAACTGAACTGATTTATGTTGTGGGTTAAGTAACTTTATACGGGCTTTATCTGGAAACCTAGCCAGACTTTATTATGTTTATTCTATAAGAAAGTGCATTTTACATTCCAGACAAGTGAGAAGGGGGCCATAGAGGATGAGATGATTGGATAGCATCACTGACTCAATGGACGTGAGTTTGAGCAAACTCCAGGAGACAGTGAAGCACAGGGAAGCCTGGTGTGCTGCAGTTCATGGGGTTGCAAAGAGCTGGACACAACTTAGTGACTGAACATCAAGAAAGAAGTGACAAAAACACTGCTCAGTTGAACTATGTGAAATTGCTGATCTTTAACCATTTTTGACATACAAAAATCTGAACATCAAGAAAGAAGTGACAAAAACACTGCTCAGTTGAACTATGTGAAATTGCTGATCTTTAACCATTTTTGACATACAAAAATGGCAATTTCATATGATTCAACCTAAATATTTTTAAATAAACCCTAAGGCAAGTGTCAGATTGCCTGTACATTCATTTACTGATTATGTATTTAATACATGTATATATTCTGCAAAACACTAATCTTGTATATTAGGGCTGTTGGCTGTAGTTTTTCTACGTAAACAATAAATCACATGCTTTTGAAGAAAGTTTGTATAGAATGTTAAGGCTTTCTTGAGTTCTACACATCTTTTTTCCAATTAATCAAAGATGCAGCAGACATGATATTATGGAATTGTTTATTTTTTGAACCAACAGTAGGATGAAAATATAGATTCATTTCTTCCTTTTAGCCTCTAAACTGTCTAACAAGTCTATTTTAATATTAATTTCAATGATAATATCTCTCATTTATTAAATGCATATTACATGCTGTATACTTGCTAACACAATAACTACTTAATGAACAAAGTACAACTATTCCCCCTATTTATAAATGAGGAAATTAAAACTTAAGGACCTTGCCCAAATTTACACAGCTATAAGTGGTAGAGTTCGGCTTGGAATCACTTTCAATCCTATTATCTAATACTTGGTTCACTGTTTTCTTCAAGCACATTTTCTTTAGCCACAAATAAGCACTCATGCTGAAAAATTATGATTTAATTCAGTCAAGTATATATTTAAGCTGTGATTATCATTAGTGATACCAGGCCCGTTCACATATGAAATACACTGTATTATTATAAGAGATCATCATAAGACAGTAGAGGATCAGGAACTGAAATGAATCTTATAGACCACAAGTTCTATAGGAGTTCTGTTGCAGTAAGAAAGGGAGAAAATTGTGCACTTTGTTATTACTAACTCCCAGAAGAGTGTTAACATAAATGATACCATCCAATCGTAATTGGATGCACAGCATTCTGGGAACAAACCAAAAGTTCAGCATAGATAGAAATGTGGAAGAGTAATGGGTGTATAATAATGCAATCCAAGAAGGAGTAACAAGCTGAAGTCTAGTTCTGGGAAGACATCAGTAGTATGTGAGGGAAATTAGGAATCTATGACTGGGATCTCTGAACCCTAGATCTCTGAATCCTACTGACTAGTAGGATTGACCCACTGGATATTTGGGGCAGATGACAGAGGGGCAGAAGATATTAAACAAAATTTCATGCCTACATTATTAAAATAATAATGGTATCAAAAATGAAAGAATTTGTACAGTAGAAGGGAGGGTGAGCTTAGACTTTAGACACTCTGAATTTTTTTTTATTGAAGTATAGTTGATTTACAATGTTGTGTTAGTTTCAGATGTACAGCACAGTAGTTCAGATGTAAATATATAGTTCAAGGTTTTTCACTTACAGGTTATTACAAAATATTTATAGTTTGTTGTGCTATACAGTAGGTCCGTGTTGTTATCTATTCCATATATAGTAGTGAGTATATGTTAATCCCAAACTCCTAATTTATCCCTCCCCCTCTTTCCCCTTTCTTAACCATAAGTTTGTTTTCTATATCTGTGGTTCTAGTTCTGCTTTGTAAATAAGCTCAGTTGTATCTGTTTTTAAGATTCCACATATTAGCATATCATATGATTTTGTCTTTGTCTTACTTCACTTAATATGATAATCTCTAGGTCCATCCTTGTTTCTACAAATGGCAATGTTTCATTCATTTTTATGACTAACACTCCATTGTATATTCCATTCCATATATATATGTATATATATATATATATGTACCACACCTTTATCTATTCATCTTAGACACGCTGAATTTAAAGTGAAGGCAAGACTGTCTACAGAAAGCCAGTTTTTTCTGTTGGCTATTGTTGACTGGGGTTTCCCTGGTGGCTCCAGTGGTAAAGCATTTACCTGCCAATGCAGGAGACGTGGATTTGATCCTGGGTCGGGAAGATCCCCTGGAGAAGGAAATGGCAACCCATTCCAGTATTCTTGCCAGGAAAATTCCTTGGACAGAGGAGCCTGGTGCGCTGCAGTCCATGGGTTGCAAAAGAGTTGGATGTGACTTAGTAACTAAACCACAACAAAAATAGTTGACTGGGTCAACCTTTAACTTATCTACTCGTTATTTTTCAGATGGCCCTTGTGAATTTCTTCATCCCTAAAGAAAAGTCGTACTCTGAAGAGGAAAGTAGGCGTGTTCGCCGCAATAAAAGAAGCAAAAGCAGTGAAGGAGCAGATGGTAAGTCTGCTTGGGTGATCCTTTATCACATATCAAACTATACCATTCTAAAAACTACATTTTCATGTGTGTGTCACCATCTCATATATTATCTATAGACTCAAGGTTGCAGAAAATTTTTCCAGCCTAAACTGCCTAACCTACCTAATCTACTCGTAGGTGCCTATACAAAGATCCTCCCTCCTCCAACCCCAGATACCTTTAGTCCTTTCACAGTGTATCTGAGAACCATGATGGCATTTGTAACCCTCAAGATCACCCTCCATAAAGACCTAATCTCTCCTAGGGACATCCTATATTTACTAAGACCATCAAGAGGATGCAGTCCTATTCTTGAAATTGACAGAGTATTGTGCCATGGTAGCACTTACATGATATCTTAAATCCAGTGATAATTATGTCTTCATTGGTATCAGCTACCATGCCTCTGGGGCTTCCCTCATAGCACAGTCAGTAAAGAATCTGCCTGCAATGCAAGAGACCCAAGTTCAATCCCTGGGTCAGAAAGATCCCCCTGGAGAAGGAAATGGCAACCAACTCCAGTGTTCTTGCCTAGAGAATCCCATGGACAGAGGAGCCTGGAAGGCTACAGTTCATGGGGTCATGGAGTCAGACACAACTTAACGACTAAACCACCACCACCAGGCCTCTAGAATTCATCTGTAAGTTCCTCAACTACAGAGATTCATTTCTCTTTGTAAAGTCCCAAAATCCAGCCTAATATATAGCAAGTTGTTGGTGTTTGCAATATAAGTCAATGATGTTGATTGCCCCAATAGCTAAGTTATGATTTGGCATGAAAACTATCCATATTGAAGGTGAAACAGCTTCAAGTTAACTAGCAATGCGTTTTGTGGGGCATAACAAAATGTTGAGCTAGTTCCTGGACAGGGTCTTTGAATTGATCTATTTTAACATCTTTCTGTCAATTGATAGAATGCTACCTCTTTGGCATATGAGTTTGTAGAATGCATAGCTCAGGGCTATTGTAAAGCCATCTAGATTCAAAGACAGCACATGTCTGACTGAATCTTCCAAAGATATACGTTCTAGGGGGTTACAAAGCAATATGACTTTATGAAAGTGAAAATGAGATTTTTTTAAAACTGACATTTGTCAGTGTAAAAAGGGTACAATGATGATAGCAGTTCTAGATGGCATGAGCAATTGATGCAATGGGGCCAAGAGTTTGTCAATTGGGATAAGAAGAGGTAAAGCTGGATGAAGTCTGAAAAAGAGCTCAGAACAACAACCTGTAATAAAGACAAGAGTCAGAAATAAGGTAAGTAAGGTGTTTCTTGAGCACCACTGAAGGCTCATGGGTAAAGAATCCCCCTGCAATGCAGGAGACGCAGGGTTGGAAAGATCCCCTGGAGGAGGAAATGGCAACCCACTCCAGCATTCTTGCCTGAGAAACCCCATGGACAGAGGAGCCTGGTGGGCTATAGTCCAACTGAGCGACAGAACGAAAACACACACACACACACACACACACACACACACACACACACACACACACACACACACACACACACACACTCACTCACTCACTCACTCACTCACTCACTCACTCACTCACCCACCCACCCACCCACCCACCCACCCACACACACACTCACTCACTCACCCACCCACACACACACACACACACACACACACACACACACACACTCACCCACACACAGGTGTTTCTAGTCAATGGAGGTGGCAACAGCTTTGAGCACTTCAACTGAGAATTGAAACCAGTGGGACCATTCTCTAGAGCAGATATTTTATATATAATTAATGACCAAGTTTGAGCCTAGGAAATGTGTATTGAAATGCCCATGAAGTAATAGGCACCCATTATTGACATCTGTTTTTCACCAGTTTCCTGGAAGTCTTTGGAAAGTAAAAGTCGCTCAGTCATGTCTGACTCTTTGTGACCCCATCAACTATACAGTCCATGGAATTCTCCAGGCCAGAAAACTGGAGTGGGTAGCCTTTCCCTTCCCCAAGGGATATTCCAAATCCAGGGATCAAACCCAGGTCTCCTGCATTGCAGGCAGATTCTTTACCAGCTGATCTACCAGGGAACCTATATATAAACTGAGAACTAAGAATCAAGGTCACTTTCCTCTCCTTATCTTATTCTGTGATGTATGTAGATTTTTCCACCTTCAACTCTTCCTCTGAACCACTCCCAGTACCACCAAATCTTTCATATTCCCTGATTGCTACAGAAGAGAGAAGAGAGGTGTTAAGAACAATATCACCTTCTGTATTGGGCATGATCTTCCCTTCCTCTTCACAGAGGCTTTTAAAGTCCAGTGGCTTTTAAACTTTACCTCTACATCTGACTTTCCAAGTTTTCTCATAAAGAAGGCAACTTCCTCCTCTCTCCCAAACCACTTTATCTGGATCTGGCCACCAGCATCTCTGCCACTGATCTTCTTTAAAGTCTTTATTATGTTTTGAAACAAAATAGTTTTTGTTTTTCCATCTGTTGAAGGACAAAGTCTCTGTTATTAATTTCTAGCACTATTTGTCTAATTTCCTCCTGATCTTATACTCTCATCAGTCACTAGATGCTACTCACTTTGTGCCTACATCAAACTTCTTGTGCAATTTCTGATATATATTATATTTTTAATCTTCAAAGGTTATATTAGTATAATATTGGGAAGTAAAGAACAAAATACAATTATTGGAGGACAAGTGCTCTACAATATTTTATTGGCCTCTACCACACATCAACACGAGCAGATATTTTCTTTAAACAGATTCAGTTCACTTCTAAGTTGTATTCAGTTGTACCTCAGTTCAGTTCAGTTGCTCAGTCGTGTCTGACTCTTTGCGACACCATGGACTGCAGCATATCAGGCTACTGTCCATCACCAACTCCCGGAGCTTGCTCAAACTCAAGTCTGTTGAGTCCATGATGCCATCAAACCATTTCATCCTCTGTCATCCTCTCCTCCTGCCTTCAGTCTTTCCAAGCATCAGGGTCTTTTCCAAGGACTTAGTTCTTCGCATCAGGTGGCCAAAGGATTGCAGTTTCAGCTTCAGCATCAGTCTTTCCAGTTAACGTTCAGGACTGATTCCCTTCAAGATTGACTGGTTTGACCTCCTTGCAGTCCAAGTGACTTTCAAGAGTCTTTTCCAACACCACAGTTCAAAAACATCAATTCTTTGGTGCTCAGCTTTCTTTATAGTCGAACTCTCACATCCATACATGACTACTGGAAAAACCATAGCATTAACTAGATAGACCTTTGTTGGCAAAGAAATGTCTCTGCTTTCTAATATGCTGTCTAGGTTTGTCATAGCTTTTCTTCCAAGGGGCAAGTGTCTTTTAATTTCATGGCTGCAGACACTATCTGCAGTGATTTTGGAGCCCCAAAAAATAAAGTCTCTCACTGTTTCCATTGTTTCCCCATCTATTTGCCATGAAATGATGGGACCGGATGCCATGATCTTAGTTTTTTGAATGTTGAGTTTTAAGCCAGATTTTTCACTCTCCTCATCCACTTTCATGAAGAGGCTCTCTAGTTCTTCTTCACTTTCTGCCATAAGGGTTGTGTCATTTGCATCTCTGGGCTTATTGATATTTCTCCCGGCAATCTAGATTCCAGCTTGTGCTTCATCCAGCCTGGCATTTCACATTATGTCCTCTGCATATAAGTTAAATAAGCAGGGTGATATTATACAGCCTTGATGTACTCCTTTCGCAATTTGGAACCAGTCTGTTGTTCCATGTCCAGTTCAAAATGTAGCTTCTTAACCTGCATACAGATTTCTCACGAGGCAAGTAAATTGGTCTGCTATTCCCATCTCTTGAAGAATTTTCCACAATTTGTTATGATCTACACAGTCAAAGCCTTGGTGTAATCAATAAAGAAGTAGATGTTTTTCTGGTATGCTCCTGCTTTTTCGATGATTTAACAGATGTTGGAAATTTGATCTCTGGTTCCTCTGCCTTTTCTAAATCCAGCTTGAACATCTGGAAGTTCATAGTTCACATACTGTTGAAGCCTGGCTTGGAGAATTTTGAGTATTACTTTACTAGCATGTGAGATGAATGCAAATGTGTGGTAGTTTGAACATTCTTTGGCATTGCCTTTCTTTGGGATTGGAATGAAAACTGACTTTTTCCAGTGCTGTGACCACAGCTGAGTTTTCCAAATTTGCTGGCATATTGAGTGTAGCACTTTCACAGCATCATCTTTAAGATTTGAAATAGCTCAACTGGAGTTCCATCACCTCCAGTAACTTGGTTCATAGTGATGCTTCCTAAGGCCCACTTAACTTCACATTCCAGGATGTCTGGCTCTAGGTGAGTGATCACACCATTGTGGTTATCTGGGTCATGAAGATCTTCTTTGTATAGTTCTTCTGTGTATTCTTGCCACCTCTTAAAAATATATTCTGCCTCTCTTAGGTCCATACCATTTCTCTCCTTTACTGTGCTCATCTTTGTATGAAATGTTCCCTTGGTATCTCTAATTTTCTTGAAGAGATCTCTAGTCTTTCCCATTTTGTTGTTTTCCTCTGTTTCTTTGCACTGATCACTGAGGGATGCTTTCTTATCTCTCTTTGTTATTCTTTAGAAATCTGCATTCAAATGGTATATCTTTCCTTTTCTCCTTTGCCTTTCACTTCTCTTCTTTTCTCAGCTATTTGTAAGGCCTCCTCAGACAATCATTTTGCCCTTTTCTGTGTCTTTTTCTTGGGAATGCTCTTGATCACTGTCTCCTGTACAGTGTCACAAACCTCTGTTCGTAGTTCTTCAGGCACTCTCTCTCTATCAGATCTAATCATTTAAATCTATTTCTCACTCCCACCGTATAATCATAAGGGATTTGATTTAGGTCATACCTGAATGGTCTAGTGGTTTTCCCTACTTTCTTAAATTTAAGGCTGAGTATTTCAATAAGGAGCTCATGATCTGAGCCACAGTCAGCTCCAGGTCTTGTTTTTGCTGACTGTATAGAGCTTCTCCATCTTTTGCTGTAAAGAAT